GTGGAAAAAAAAAAAAAAAAAAAGAGAGATCAGCAAGAGTGGCTGACAGCATGCATTTAGGGTTAAAATAAATGCAATCAGTTGATCTGCTCAGCAGCAGTGGTCTTACTCCTTGTTTTCCAGGCCTGCCTCTCTTTTTCTTGCCCTTTCCTTCCCCAGAGTCATCCAGCTCACTAACACTCATGCTCAGACTCACAGTGTCGCCTTGCCCGTCATTTGACGAGTCCCTGCATAGTGTGATGCAAATGTTTATTAACATTTTTGTGCCCATTTATATTAGCGCCCATCATTTTAAAGTGTTTTACTTACTGCAACATAGGAAAGTCTGAGTTGATCATGTTGTGTCTTCTGACAAAACTAGGAGACTTCTAAAGATGAATCACCCAGTAATGGCGTGAATGCGTTTGCGATTCCTCAGTTCAGGCCCAGAATACTTCAGACCACATAACCTGAGAATTTAGAGAAAACAGAAGCTCTGATCAGGATGACATGAAGCATAATTAAGTACAGATAAATGCAAAACAGTACAAAAAGCTTAATGAACAGTAAATTGTACATATCATGACAAAAGCAGTTTGACAACTGCCATTTATTAGACATTTACTAGATTTTATACATTTTTTGTGTTTTATGTTATAACTAAAATAATTATATTTATATATATTAATAAAATATAAAAGAAAAAAAATGTATACATATAAATAAAACTAAAATTGCCATTTTAAAAGCTTTAAAAAATAGTAGCATCACATAGCCACTAGGGATGGCATGATTTTCAATGAAACTATAATCCAGGATCAAAACCACAAAAAGATGCAACAACTCAAAATGCAATCATAATGACTACTTATTACAGAAAAATAACATTTGTCTTAATCACTTGTACTTGAGGCAAAAACAAAAAAAACATTTGACAAACGACACACTGCCATTAGGGGGCATCCCAAGCATGGCTTTTTCCTGTTGCTGTGGAAACAGCAGAAACAGAGGCAGATAGGATGGCTAAACACATTTATGTCAAGTGGAGATGGGATGTATATGGATCTAAATTAGATCAGACAATATCTGTGCTATTAGATATGAAAAGCAAATATTTCCATCCCTGACTGATTTAGAAAATGCACTTGGATGCATCTTCACACATGATTTGATTTTAACCAACACAAGATGGCTCCCCACCCCCAGAGGAGACTTTCCACACTGTAGTAATAGATGTTTCAGTGGATACTGAGGATTCAAAACCACACGCAAGCGTGAAACAGACATATGGATGAAGTTCAACAGGAATGCAGGCTGGAATTCCCTACATACAGGGTTTTTGACACTGATCTGCTGTCAGATGGTATTCTAAGTGGACATAAGGAGAAAATAAAACCCCTTACTTTGCATCTGTAATGCTCCCCTCCCCCATACAGATTTGGATATCTCAGTAAATATGGCCCAGGCCGAAACTCTGGGCTTGTGCTCCGGAAAAAGACTATGCAGTTTTGTAAAACTCAACAGCTGACCGTTACATAATCACACCAGAGATGGGCAGCAGACACATAAGACAAACAAATACAGAATAAAATCACGCTATTCATGCACAAATAGCTGTAGTTTAGCAGACATGCTGTTTCTCTCTGATGAGTAAGTGTTAAGTGTAATATAAGAGTAGAGCTCAGGAAAGAAAATGTAATTTACACCTCAGCGGTGGAGGCTGGTGACAGTGAAGAGAGCTGAATCCTTTTGGGAATACTAGAATATGAATGTCAATGTCAGCAAAATACAATGGAGGAACATTCACCAGTTCAATGGCTCATGGTAAAAGGTAATTTCTTTTAAAATGATTCTCGACTTCGACTATGAGCAGCCAATCTGCAACTAACCTCCAATCTTCTGGTATTTAAAGGTTCAGTGTGGAATGTTTGTAGCATTAGAAGAACTAAACGAAACAATTATTTCCACAAAGGTTTTCCAAACCTGCTATTATTATTACCAAACAGGTTGACCCACCCTAAACGCAGACAACCAAATGTACTTTTAACGCAAGTCAGTCATTTGTTATCACCCCACGTAGCTATTTCCAGTCATACAAGCACATATCCTGTTTCTCCGATAAAAATAGACGAAAACATTCAAAACTAATATCAGTTTTAGTTTTTTTTTTTATCTAAAAAAAAACATACAATGCCTCTGTGAAAAAGGTATTTGGTTGTTTAACCTGCATATTCCATCTACCATTTTTTTATATTTCTATAATCATCTCTTCATATAATGTCACTGAATCTCTCAGATTTCAGTTACAAATATTAAGAATATTATAGAATATCAAGATATTGTAGAAACATTCTATTTTACAGTCAGAAATTATTCATTAATTCTGTAATGATTATTCAGCAAAAGTGTCCAGTAACAGTGGGGTTATAAATAGGTGTTCAGCTAGTCATGTGATCTTCAATAGACTGCTCTCATGAAGCGACCTGCTGCGTGATAAATAAAACAGTAGGCTATTTACCGAGTAGAAAATGTACTTAAACGTAAGAAAACCCATTTACCTGAAAAAAAAACAAAAAACAAACATACATTGCATTTTTATTCAAAACATAAACCGAAAAGATGTACAAGAGATCACATAGGGGTCAAGATTAAATGGTTCTCACGGTGAGGTCAAATTGGAAAAAGAAGTGTAGATGAGGCCAGTAATGGCATTGCACAGAACAACCCCTGAAAGCAACTCGATGGATCAGTGAATGTGCTAATGGGCCTGCAGCTTCTCATCGAGCTGGTAGAGCAAGCAGCACAGATTCATTAGAGTCTGGGGACACACTATTAAATGGTTTGCACTGTATGATGACAGTCAAATGAGGCTATTCTTGGCACTGGCTGGGTGAGATGCTTTTAAATCAGACCAATTATGTCCCTTTCCTTGCATCCGATAACTGGCTATTTTCAAGTTCGTGCACAACAAATTTCATTCAAATCACTCTGGGCACTTAGTTGAATTAGTAATAGGGTTAAATCTGGAAAAGACACTCTGAATCTCAGTATGCTTCAGTTTGGCTTACATCAGACAAAACTGCCCATTCTGAGTGCGTGCATCATGCACAAACCTCTCATAGCTGCGTCTGATGCTTAGCTTTGATGGTTTTGTTCGATGAAGAGAACCTCTTGCTTAATGTTACATAATGACTTTCTAGTTCATCTCTTACTGCTAAAACACATAATCTTTAAGCAGGCAAACATCACCAGAATAGATTCAATTAAAGTGGTTCCACAGAAAACAATGCTTTCAGAAGCGCACAGTTACAGTACACGGCTAACAATGACAAGGAGCAATAAGTTGTTGCACAGATTTCAACATCCCTCGCTGACTCTTTATTAAAACGACCGAGAAAACGTGAAAATGAAAGATATTTTTTTTGTTTAAATACAAGTTCTCCTCAGAATGGGGTTGAATGCAAATATATGTCACAGTTACAAAACTGTAACAAAATAGTTAGTTACACTTTATATCAGTTGTATAATTATTTCATTATTAGTGCATTAACATGGTTTCCTGTAGCTAAACTCATTGCACTAACAATGTAAATCAATCCTCATTGCTAAAATGTACAGCAGTAATGCACTATAAGTAGCTTTCATGGTAGCTAATCATAACCATACAAACTTGTTCACAAAACAAGGCACATTTTAAACAAAAATCCTTATGTGCACCATTCCCTAGCAATTTTTTATCCTGCTGTCAGAAAAACGTAGCCTTTTTAACACTGTATATACTTTCTGAGATCAAATCTTTATCTATACATCTGTCTTAGTCCATACGTGAGCTGGTTTAGAAGTGAAGATTGTTTATTCAGATTGAATGGGAGTGGATTTATATCTCCCTTCATCGGTTCATCTCATAAACACTCGCACTAAGGACAGGCAGCAGTCTCTAATGATCTGTGAAACACTCAAAATAGCTTGACAATTGCCTTGAGAGACTGTGAGAAAAGCAGCGTTCGCTCTTGCTTTGTCTTGCAGACACTCATTTCCACCTCAGGTTTGAAAGAAAACTCAATGGTTTATAGATCAAATTCTGTCTTAAGACATCAGCGTAATCAAGGTCTTTTCAAGCGAGTGGGCCGCAGCGAGAGGCATTACCAACACTGACTTACTAAATAATGTAATTTCATGTGGCTTGTCAATGAGGAATTCAGCCTTTAGCTAAATTACATAAAAAGATCTTGTAGACAAATTTAACATTGTTTGTTTAACCGCTAACACTCTTCCTACTAAACTGATCACTTGTACACCATTTGTAACACTGAAAAGGCTTGAATTACAAGGCCTACATAGAATCAGTGCCCATAGAATTAGAACAGCTGTTACTCAAATTTCTAAACATTTCCTGCCAATTGAATGTTTATTTATTACATATTTTGGATACCAATATAAGCACAGTACTCTTTAACCATTTTATTTAAATCCATTCCACAGATTTTACCCAAAATCAGCTTAGAAAATGTGGAAAAAGTAATTAACTAAACAGAAAGCGATGGAAATGATTAAATTATGCAAACTACAGTGTTACATAATACAATTAAATATGCAAAAAAGGATCATTTGCAAATAAACTGACAAAATTTGACAATGGGTGTTTTAGAGTATGATCTTTCTGTTACTGACAGATTTAGCTCGACTAAGCTCAGATTCAGGGAAAACATCCATTTACTAAACTTGTAAGCACTTTTTTTTCTTCTTCAGTTTTGAAGGGTTAAAGTGACAGTTCATCTTTTACTCACCCTCACATCATTCCAAACCTGCAGGACTTTCTCAAAATATCTTATTTTGGTTATGGAACAACATGAGAGTAATTGATGAATGAATGTTCAAACATTTTCTGGTGAACTATCCCTTTAATGTGTTTTGTATACAATCAATGTATACAATCAATTCTAAAAAGCACAGTAAACTATGCTTACTATACTACTACTATACTATAAAATAAATATAGATAGTCAAAACAATGTTTGACTTTATGTAAAGTTGTACCGCAGAGCTAAACTATTCCATACAGGTTTATACTGTAAGCAAGTCTATTATTTAAACAGAAACATTTAATAAACACAAACTTGTCATAAACATACATGCATGTATACACCCTTTCAAACCTGTCTTTAAGGATCTCGCAAACATTAAAAGCCCATTCACATCACTACTCATAAATCTGCTTAGAAAAAAAAAATCTACATCACTTCTGTAATTAAAACTATTCATTCATCCCACATAGTGTTGTCAAAAGACCCGGTATTTCGGTACCAAGTCGGTACTAAAAAAATGAAAACGTTACGGTACCAGGTTTTTTTAAGTACCGGTGGTACCGAGTACCCGGTCAACCCGGTTCTTGATGCGCTAAACGAAAGCTAGCCTCTTCCAGTGTTGCCAAGTCCGCGGTTTTCCCGCGGAATTGGGCTGCTTAAC